TGGGAGTCATTACATGCTTCCTGTGTGTTTATAATGGGGATCACTACTTACTGCCTGACTATAGATGTTGGGCGTCACTACATATTAGCTGTCTTATAATTGTGGGGTCAGTACCTTCCATATGTTGGGGTGACAACATGCTGCATGTGTATATATGATGGGTGTCATTACGTGCTTCCTGTGTGTATATATGATGGGGGTCAGTACATGCTTCCTGTGTGTGTATGACGGGGGTTCACTACCTGCTGCCTGTCTATAGATGTTGGGGGTCACTTCATGCTAGCTGTCTTTAAAGTATAGGGTCAGTACCTTGTACGTGTTGGGGTGCCAACATGCTGCATATGTGTATATATATGTTGATATGATTTGGGGGGGGAGGGGGGTCACAACATGATTCTTGTATGTATATTATGGAGATCACTACATACTGCCTGTGTGTATATGATGTGCGGCACTACGTGGTTTATCTGTATTATGGGTCGTCACTTTACATGTAGATGTATATAATTGTGGTCACTACAGATGTGTGATAGTGAAGATTACATGCTTAACTAAAAGAGTCACGTGTGATACAGGGGACCCTCTCTGCTACATGCATAAGATAAGGGACACCACATTCTACATGGATGTGATAGGGGAAAATTTCATAGCACTTGGTCCATGCATGTGCTGAAACAGACATGTACAACATGTATGTGTCTAAAACATTGTATAAATATGTAACAGTGATGCATGTAATAGTATACAAAACATAAAAGTGACAGTGTGTCTTATTGATGCATGGGTATTATGAACACAAATGCATTTTTGACATACATGTCACATGGAAGCTTAAAGGTGTATTATGCATACATACACTGATATTATTAGGACATATTATCGATGCATATGTTTCATGTATTCCTATCTGTATGCGTAGTTTAGATACATACATGTCTTATACATACATGTCTTATATGTATCATATGATCTGAGTACTTCTTTTATTTGTGCATTCATATGTGTTTGCGGTGACAGCTATACGTGTGTGTGTGTGTGTGTAAGAAAACACAGTAGATGAATTTATGGGGCGTAGAGGAGTTTACGTGATATAAGACAGAAGTCCTTTTTATGCGCAGAGGTCGAAGTGCCCGTGCAGACGACATTGACAATATCCTGCGCCACATAGAATGACAATTCACATAGAACGTCTCTCATTATCTAATGTGACCATCTGTGGACAATGCAAAGTGTAACAGTTGCCCGAGAGCCGTAACCTACATCATTCACAATTCACCTTGCCATAGTCAACAGAGCAAAAAGCTCAAATATGATTGGTCGCTGTATGATTCCAGCACTTTCGCACCTTCTTAAGCCCGGATGCATTTTCTGGTCCCATGCAATGACGTCAGAGGCATTTATTATCAATGTAGGTATGTTCGCTCTAGACTATGGTCACGTCTGCTACAAGGGTAGTGGCCTCACGTATTACATCCGGCTACCATACAAACCAAAGGTGACCATACACATAGTGATTTGTGATCGATTTAGGTGCGAGCGATCTATCATTAAAATAAAAATGCAAAGTGCAAAGTTCTGTTCTGTATTTTGCAATTGACTGAAAATGTTTATCAATCCGTAAGCTGGAAAAAGCAGAACACATTTAATATTAAGAAGCCCTTAAGGACCCGTTCATACCTAAGCGTAGCGCTAATCTTACGATACCATGTGTTTAACACACGCTATCATGCAAGGCAACGCAAGGGTGCGTTATCTACGCTAGCTGCGTTTCATTTCCATTTATTTGAATGGCACCCCAGCGCACCTCCCGGCTGCACCACAGTACCTTGTGGTGAAGTGGAGAAAAAGTTGTGCTGCGTTGCAGCCTGGAGGTGCATTGCATTGCCATTTATTTGAATTGCACCCCAGCGCATCTCCCGGCTGCAGCGCAATGCATGGTACTGCAGTACCGCGTGGTGAAGTGGAGAAAAAGTTGTGATGCGTTGCAGCCAGGAGGGGCATTGTATTGCCATTTATTTGAATGGCACGCCAGCTCACCTCCCGGCTGCAGCGCAATGCATGGTACCGCAGGACCTTGTTGTGTGGTGGTAAAAAAGCTTTGCTGTGTTGCAGCCAGGAGGTGCATTGCATTGCCATTCATTTAAATGGCACCCTAACACAGCACAATGCACGGCATCACAGTACCTTGTGGTGCTGTGGGAAAAAAGTAGTGCATGCATGGCGGCCAGGAGGTGAGTTGGAGTGCCTTTCAAATGACAGTAATACCTCGGTTCACGAACGCTTCTGTTTGCAATCAGGAAGTTGGGGAAAATGTTGCTTCCGTTCGCAAACTCTAAATCGGGTGACGAACACGACCGCGGCCATCTTCCCCGCTCTGACACGTGGTTGTGGCTTCCTCCAGTCGAGATCGCGGTCACAGACAGACCTGTGCACCCTTACCCACCTTATGGGGAAATTTGATTCGGTTCGCGACCAGAATTGTGGAATTAATTAAGTTCGAGAACTGAGGTGTCACTGTAATGGCATCGCAGTGCGCTTAGCGAAAGGTATCACATGCTAGATGACTTGTGTCGTGCTGTATACGATTACTCCAGTCATTGATCTAGGACTCTGATCTTCTGTGCAGGAGGTGCAGACCCATATTTTATGCATGTCCATCCAAATTATTTTCCAGTAAGCTTTACAGGATTCAGGAGGAGTACTTACTAATAGAAGGTGATACTTTCTCTTTAAGCACGACAAAACATGTGCTTGCTGTAGTCGTGTGGTAGCGAAACAGCCCCGAGGGTTTATTTCTCTGCTTCATTCCCTGCACACAATGAACACCCCCTTCTATTTATTTTACTCCAGTCTCCTGCGCTTATATAGAGATATTGCTGCCCACTAGACTACTAATTGTCCTTCAGATCCAGGATTAGCAGGCTCGAGCACAGGACTGATTGGTGAATTGCAGCAGAGACGGATTGGAGTGAGATTCCACTGAACGGCAAGAATTAAAGGGTCAGTCCATCCTACACTGCGAAGCCAAGAAAGCTGAGTCACCCTGGGGATTCTGAGATCTCTTGGGGCCACCAGGAGTGAGATCTTCCTGCCATAGGTCCGTCCGTCCGTTTCTGGCCACCTTGTAGTCTCATGCACTCTTTTCTCTGTTTCCACACATCCTGTGACATTGTCCATAGGATAGAAGCATTTAAAATCTGATCATAGTTGGTTGTAGCAGATGTTTAGTCCTAGGTGGTCACCGCTGGAGTCCATGAAGGAACAGAGTCTTAAAGCTAATCTACGGCCAAAACATTTTATTTTATATCTGGATAGAGCAAAGAAGGGTTGAAACCTTTGACAGATGGTTATTGCTGCCTGGGCTGATTTTCCCTCATTCCTATTCTATAAACCAAAAGTATCAACAGAGATTCTAACCCTTTTCCTTTCTATGACATTTTTTTCTCTTTGTTCCCATTGCTGAGATTGCCCTTCACTTCCTGTCCCAGTGACCGCCTCACACTCGTCTGCCCTTCACTTCCTGTCTCAGTGACCGCTTCACACTCGTCTGCCCTTCACTTCCTGTCCCAGTGACCGCCTCACATTCGTCTGCCCTTCACTTCCTGTCTCAGTGACCGCTTCACACTCGTCTGCCCTTCACTTCCTGTCCCAGTGACTGCCTAACACTCGTCTGCCCTTCACTTCCTGTCCCAGTGACCGCCTCACACTCGTCTGCCCTTCACTTCCTGTCCCAGTGACCGCCTCACACTCGTCTGCCCTTCACTTCCAGTCCCGGTGACCGCCTTACACTTATCTGCCCTTCACTTCTTTTTTTAAACAAAATGTTTTCTTTATTCTGTTTTAGCGGTCAACCCTCAGCGGGTGTGACCACAACGTACCAAGAAATTCAATACAGATAATACGAGGTTTTCTCACATCTACCTCGACAATTGCACCAGAAATAACAACATTCCAACTTTTTCAACTTTCCCGTGCTGGTTGCCCCCATAGCTAAAGGCTGTATTCTACCCGTATATACTAGATACAAAATTAAACCAGAATAGATAATAGACAATATACGGTAAACGGTTCTACTATACTCCATCCCCCCTATAACCTCAATTTAGGCTTCATAGCACCTCCAGCGGCCCCAAAGTTCCCGATAATTTGTTTTTCAGGTACCAGTCCGAATATTGGAAGGGTTGCATAATGTCAGTCAATTCCTGCTGATCAAAGGTCACAGCAAGGAACTGTTTCCATCTCCGGAATAATTTTTTGGATAGTGTATCGACATTTGCCCTTCACTTCTTGTCCCAGTGACCGCCTTACACTTATCTGCCCTTCACTTATAGTCCCAGTGGCCGCCTCATACTCGTCTGCCATTCATTTCCTGTCCAAGTGACCACCTCACACTAGTCTGCCCTTCACTTCCTGTCCCAGTGACCGCCTCACACTAGTCTGCCCTTCACTTCCTGTCCCAGTGACCGCCTAACACTCGTCTGCCCTTCACTTCCTGTCCCAGTGACCGCCTAACACTTGTCTGCCCTTCACTTCCTGTCCCAGTGACTGCCTCACACTCGTCTGCCCTTCACTTCCTGTCCCAGTGACCGCCTAACACTCGTCTGCCCTTCACTTCCTGTCCCAGTGACTGCCTCACACTCGTCTGCCCTTCACTTCCTGTCCCAGTGACTGCCTCACACTCATGCCCCCACTTCCCCCATACCTGAAAGTACCAGGTATTACACTTCCTTCTGGTGGGCAAGGGAGAACAAAGAAGGCGATGGTGACCTGTTACTTTGCCTTGTACGGGTCACTTTTAGGTCCATTTTGGACCTGTTCCGGTAATACCTTGTTAAAAACAGATGCAGGCCTATTATAACCTGTGTTGCCCTGTGTTGATGGTCCTTTCCCACTTAATAAGCTGCCTTCGTGCAAATACATAGTGTGAATTCTGGCCCAAGGTGTCAGTCCACCCAAACGTCCAGGGTACATACAGGCTGGTTCTATTTTCTGGCAACTCCGAATATCATTGATATCATTGGCGTAGTTCCTGGTTCTGTTTACATTGGAGGGTTGGGTGTCCCTGGACACCTCGGGGTTGTTCCACTCCTCCTGTTGCATTGTGAATAGTATAAACTGTTTGTGGTATGTGTTTGGTGGATGCTTGAGCATTAAACCAAACATATAAATATCATTCTTATTTAGACTGACCATGTAAGAGTAAACTGACTGTTCTTCCCGGCTTGCATTGGCAGGTGACACGGTGCACCTGTCGCCTCTTCTCTTTTTTTTTATTTTAGGCACTCATTTTTTATTTTTCTTGCAACATCTGTTTTTGGCCGCTGAAGGGCGCAGGACGCGATGCCGAGACTCTAGCACATCTCTTAGATGAATATGCAAATTGCGCCACGCTTCTTTTTTACAAGTTCCCATCCCCCCCCGTGGCTGATTTTTCACGCCCAAGGCGCCACTTTAAAAATAGATTTAAGCAGGAGAAGAAGGAAAACACAACTTCTTTGTTCTCCGTGGCTGCATAAAACTGTGTAATCAGTCTCCTTCACTGCGAAGAAATTGGATTGCTTGTTTACAGAGGGCCATATATCAAAGCCGGTATAACGGGTCACTGCTTGATAGTTGCTAATCCGGTGGGCGAGATAAAGAAGAACAAACAAATGAGACAAAAAAAAGAATGCCGTTATCTTTTCCAGTACGACTGTCCCCTGTGCACACAGCCAGCTCCATAAAGACATGGGGTGACCAGTCTGGCGTGGAGGAACTTGAGTAGTCTGCACAGAGCCCTGACCTCAACCCGATAGAACACCTTTGGGTTGAATTGAAGCACTGATTGTGAAGCAGGGCTTCTTTATTAACACCATACCTGGCTTTGCAAATGTTCCTATGGCTGAATGGGCACAAATTCCCAGAAGCACGCTCCAAAATCTTGTGGAAAGCCTTCCCAGAAGAACCAAGGCTGTTATAGCCACAAAGGAGGGGGCAACTCCATAGCAAAGTCAATGGTTTTGGAAATAAGCTTGTATAGGTGTGATGGTCAGGTGTCCTCAAACGTCTCTATCTATCTATCTATCTATCTATCTATCTATCTATCTATCTATCTATCTATCTATCCATCTATCTATCTATCTATCCCTCTATCTATCTATGTCTATCTGAGACTGACTTCTGACTGATCTATTTAGTAGTCAATACCGTGCAGCAAGAACAATGGGTTCTCTAACACGTGCTGTAGCTTGCTGGTAAACTACTATACCAGTTGCTATTGTTGAAGGCCCAGTCACACTTTTGCATTGCGGTAAAGCGTGACCACATATCTTACCTATGCCTATGTTACCATACCTATGTTGCAGTGCAGTGTACTTCACTTTGAATGGCACCCTAATGCACATACACAGTAAGAAAAACACACCTGCAGTTCAGCACATCACCGTAGATGTGAGTCCTTTGTGCATTCATGGTGCTGCGTTGCCAGACATAGCGTCGGTATGTTTCTTGCGCTCATAGTCCATTCAGAATGAATGAGCTGTCTTAAAGGAGAACTATGAGGTGAGTGCTTTTCACTCACCTCATAGTTCTAGCCGACCTGTGACAATGAGACTGTCACAGGTCGACTCAGTAGATCGGGAGGTGAGCGAACACATACCGGCGTTCGCTCACCTCTCGATCCTGTCACGGCTCTCTGACGTGACAGGGGGAGGGGCTGGATTCCCCTCTCCCCGCTCCGATCTGCCAGCGCTGACTGGCGGAACGGACGGGGGAGGGGGTGGGTACAGCTGGCTCTGCCTCTAGATAGGCAGAGCCAGCTGTCACTCACGCAGCTGGGCGGATCCCGTCATCTACGTCGGGATCCGCTGCGGCGTCTCAGTATATAGTGAGCTGTACCGGGTAACGGGAGGACGCTAGTTTGTGTCCTCCCGTTACCCTAAGGAGAACTATGGGGAAAAACACTGACCCCATAGTTCTCCTTTAATGCAACGTACGTATGCACGCAAACACATGCATTACTACATGCAAAAGTGTAAATGAGCCCCTAGCTCCTGAGTCCCTCATAATCCAGCAGTTCAACTGCAGCCAAAAAGGTGTTTTGTGGTGATGACCTATGATCATATGATGGAAATATAAGGTATATATATAAAATTAATGCAGCCACCACATCCAAGGACTGGTAAGCTGCAATATATTACATTATAATTTGGGTTCAAATATATTTAAAATGTCAATTCCACCTCCAGTATAACACCATTACACATATTGACTTTTTTTTTTTTTTTTTTGGCAGCTGCCGCTCACTTCAGATTTTGTCGGAACCTCCTGGAACACACGGTGTCCACAGAGAACCTTAACCATCGCTTCCGACGTGATATCGGTAACAGCCTGACCTGGCACGATGGCCGGGGGCACAGGACAACTGGAGGCAGGGCAATTAAACTCCTTAAACAGCCTGGAACAGATGTATCACAGGTAACTTGAGTATACAGGGGGCACAGAATGAATTTTTGGAAGCATAAAAACACTAAAGAACCATTCATGATGTTAGACAACTAAGAGGCTAGACAGAGATAGGCAGCTATAGCCCTGGAAATGGCAGGAGGGGTGCTGAGACCCACCATGATTTTCACCCATCAGTGACAGGTTCATGGCTCCTTGTGAAAGATTGGTCTTGCTTGCAGGTGTCGCCAGCCACTGCAAGTGCTCGGTACTGCACCCTAGGAGGTCATAAGCGTCCCAGAAATCACAAGAGAAGCTCCAAACTAGGAGTTTGCTGCCATGTTCGGTGTAGCCACCCTGATTCCAAATGCATTCATGTGACACAGGGGGCTTCTGTGTTTTTTCAGGCTCATGCTAGCTTGTGCAGACTGTGTAATCTGAGTCAAATGTAGGCCCACCTACATATAGAAGGTGGGGACTGAAGGTTCTGCATAGCTAAACCTTAACACAGGGTCTTCTGTAAGTCAGATTCAAAAACCAACTCCAGACAATTTTTATTTTATCTTCAATTAGAACAGGGAAGGGTTGGAACCTCTGCCGTCTGTGACTTGACTGGGGAGATTTGGTTTAACTGTGTGCATCAGTGACAGCCTTTTGACACCAGGACAAGAAAGGAGGGGAATGGGTGTCACCTGGGCAGAAAGGCCACAGACACCAATCTTTCCTCCCTGACTAAGCAATTGGGGGAATTTACTAAGACTGGAACAGACAGATTCTGGAGCAGCTGTGCATAGTAACCAATCATCCTCTTTCTTCCGCATGTTCAGTTAAGGTGCCCATACACCTTACGATTATCGGACGATTTTCGTATGCGATCGACTTTTCGTCCGATAATCGTACGTGTGCATAGCAGTGCCCGACCGACATTACTGTACAATCGTACGACTTTTGACGGTCAAGCATGTTTGAAAACTTTGCTCGATTGTACGATTGTCGTAAGGTTGCTGGCGTTTCCGTCCGTCAAAAGTCGTACGATCTACACTGCGCATGCGCGAACGAAAATACGACAAATCAATTACCGCATTTCGTCCAGGTGTTTTTCGTTAATTACGGCCAAAATCAATCTTGCGATCATCGGGGCAGGATGGGGCTGCCGTACGAAAATCGTACGACTATTCGATCATCGGACGAAACGTTTCGTCCGATAATCGTAAGATGTATGGGCACCTTTAAGCTTTGGAGATGAAAGCTGGAAGCTGATTGGTTGCCATGCACAGCTGCTCTAGATTCTGTCTGCTAAAGTCTTAGTAAATTCCCCTCAATGTGTTTTTATTGCTGGCTCTATCTCTGTTGAAGAGATTTGTCAACACTTCCTATGCTTCTGACTCCCTGTCCCTCTGATTC